CCCTAGAATCCCACTGGGAGCTGACCCGTCATCTGGCCAGGGTTGGCCACAGCTTCTCATCCCAGGTTGTTACTCCTCTCACACCGCCAAATGCGGTATACGGAGTCGCTCTCCCCTGATGCTTTCTGAGGTGTTCTACTTCCAATGTCCTGCAGTCTCCTCTCAAGTGGTTGACCACTGCTTATGTTTTGTGTCAATGCTCAGCCTCCTGCTGTCCTGCTAGGCTGCCTCTTCTGATGCTCGTGCCCATTTTTGCCAGTATAGAGAGCCTCCTCTGGCTGTCTTGTTCCGCGGACACACCATCCTTTGCCAGTGCAGAAAGCCTTCTCTGGCTCCTCGACACCCCGGTCGTCGCTGATATAGAGCCTCTGCTGACTCTCTCTCCTCTAGAGTGCTCCTCTCATCACCTGCTTTGAGAGTTTTTATCAACTCTCTTCCTCTCCTCCTCCCCCAGTCTTCGCTGGTGATCCTTTTTATCTCTGCTGGCTGGTTCTTGTGTTATTCTTTTTTTTTTCCTTCTTTTATACATGGTCCCTGCCCTAGGGGTTTCCCATTTACTGTTTGGGACTCTTCCAGTTGATTGCCCCCATGACACATTCCCTACATCATAAGCACTAAGGAACCAATAGAATAGTCTACTGGTACTGCTGTTTTCTATTCTATCACCAACTTGTTCAGGATATTGTATTAAGTAAAAATATGTTACGATATCAACTCTTTGTTTTATGCAAAAGGCATAGATATTTGTTTCTCTTATTGTTAAAATAAGTAACAGTTTGTGGAATCATTTAACTATGCAGTCTAAATGGACAAATTTTCTTCTTTCATGTAGACTCTGATCAGTTTGGTTGGGGACTAGTTTTAGCTTTTATTTAAGTTTACAGTAAGCAAAACATCCATAATGAAATGAAACCTACAGGGGTTGTGCAAAATTCTGAATACTATTTGAAAAGGAATCTTTTGGTCTGTTTATGTAATGGATTTAAAAGTTTAGCTTGTTTTTTACTTTATAGTCTTTTTATGCAACTGCACATAAAGCCAGCTAAAGGTTTTTTCAGATACTGTATTAGACAGAGATAGAAGAAAGAAACTTAAAAAATAGATTGCTATATCTGTTGGAAAAAGTTTCCTGTTTTCTATTAGTTTTAAAAGAAGTTTGATGCAATGCAAAAGAAATACTTTCTAAAACTCTTCAACTTCAGAAGAATTGTAGACTGGACCAAGTCTTTCAATAGAAAATAGAAAATACCTGGCCCCAAGCAACTTGAAGTGTATTTTTACAGTACATGTACAAGAAACTAAAAAGTATGTATACTACTTTTATAAAATTGACTTCTATTTTTTTTGTTACATTTCCTTCTGCACCCCATTTGCTGATAGAACTATGTGCTATGTTTCCTCAGTTCTGTAGGTCTTCTCTCACTCAATACTGGCAGTTTCAGGAAATACTTTTTGGGTGCAATAATTTTTCTTTGAAGCAAAAATTAAGTGTTTGATCAGTAATACAGATTTTTATAGTCTTCTGGACTCAAAGCAAAATGCGTATAATAAACAATTTTTATGCAAACCCATCCACAGCTCCAATTTTTTTTCCCCGCATTCCTGTATTATAAGCTATGTGACATTTCAGGTGGATTTGTTCCCTCCTGTGCTAGATACTGTTTACAGAGCTTATACAATGATCCCCATCCTGTTGATTCACATGTGTTATGAAAGATAAATGTGTAGCAGGGAAGGACAGAAAGTGTGAAAAAGACTGAATGCCAATATCCTTCATGTCAATGTAGGTGGAACTATAAGAGCAGCTGCATCTGATACACTTCAGAGCTAAGAATTCTTAATGTGAAATTCAGGCAGGGGCACATTCTTCAAGAATCAGGTATAGCACCTGGGTAGTATGTTATGTCATATGTGCTGTCTCTTGAAGACTTTACTTTTACTCTAGTGTAGAAAGGCTGAATAGATAAAGACAACTTTGCCAGAAATAAATGTTTCCCAGGAAAGTGGGAGTAAAAGAGGATGAACATAATTTTCTGCAGATCATGGCAGAACAGAAAAATTGAAAGCCCTAAATAAATACTTGTATTCACTGTCTTGCAAGTTGCAAAAATCAAACTGCATTACAATTTGCCTCCCTCTGTTGCCCCACACAGCCACCCTACATCTAAATCTTTCTAGTTCTTCCTCTTTTCCCAAGATCCATAGTCATCTTTTTGCCCAGATAGCCCAAATTTTTGTCCAATCCCTAATCTTCTCTCATCTAGATCATTATAAATCTTTCAGATCCAGGATAATTCACACATTGCCCTCTCTTCCTTCAAAAGTCTCCTCAAAATCCAACTTCACTTTTATGTCTGTCAAACCTGGACAGTTAAAAAATGGGTGGAGAGTTGGACTGAATTTATCAGTGTTTAGTTTAACTAAAATATAGAGATGCATGTAATTGAGTGTACCTCTTATCCCACAACTTGAAGGTTGGTTTTCACACACCAGTTAAGTTCCCTATTCTGGTGCATGTGTGTGTCTCTCTTTCTCCACCTCCATCACAGGTCCATCCTGGACCTAAGAAAAATTTTAAAACATCTGTTTTTGTAAAATGACCTTTTTCTTTGTGGATGGGACTGTTCTGTCCTAAGTGCTGGACTTTGCACTTGGCCTTGTTGAACCTCATGAAATTTCTTCTGGTCTAATCCTCCAATTTGTCTAGGTCACTAAATCCTAGCCCTACTCTCCAGCATACCATTCCTCCTTCCAGCTTGGTGTCATCCACAAACTTTCTTAGTGTTGAATCCATCCTAACTTCCAGATCATTAATGAAAATATTGAGCAAAACTAGCCCCAGGACTGACCCCTGGGGAACTTCACTTGATATGGGCTGCAAACTAGACCTCAATCCATTGATCACTACCTGTTGAGCCTGAAGATCCAGACAGTTTTCTATCAACCTTACAGTTCATTCATCCAACCCAAACTTCCTCAGCTTGCTTGCAAGAATGCTGTGACAGACTGCATCAAAAGCCTTGAAAAAGTCAAGGTATAGCATGTCCTCTGCTTTCCCTCCATCCACAGAGCCAGTTATCTCATCATAGGAGGCAATCAGGTTGGTCAGGCATGACTTACCCTTGGTGAATCCATACTGACTTTCCCTGATCACTTTCTTCTCCTCCAAGTGCTTAGAAAATAAATCAGTAGAAAGTCTCCAGTTGGTTCAAATGTACTTTGTATCAGTTCCTCAGATTGTAAGGTTTTTGAAGGAAGGACTGTGTTTTTTAATGTTTCATAAAATATTTGGCCTAATGCAGCTCCATTTTTGATAGGATGTCTGGGAGCCACCACAATGCAAATATTAAATAGCAATTATTATAAAGTCAGGGCAAACAGCAATGAAAACCACACACAACAAATTTAAACCAAAAGGTCAGAGGATGAAAGCCTTAAGAAATAGGTAACTTTTTACAAAGTTCCTCCACCAGAATACATCCAAGCCTCCAGAGAATGTAGTGATTGCCTTAAAATGCAATCATAGTTCTGTTAATAAAATTATACAAAGGATAACAAAGTTATCTTTCAAAGAAAATAGAAAAAGCTTGGTTAGGAGGGTCAAGTTTCTATCTGCGCCCATAATTCATTCTCTAAAATGAAACTATTTACAATTACAATCCTTGTCACAAATAAATCCAAATCCAAAGTTTTTCTTTCATTAAAAAGGAGGAAGATTACTTCATCCCCATAAAATGTGACAACTTCTCATACATACAAAACTTGGAATGGTGGTGTAAGGAATGGCATAAAGAGTAACAGAGTTGGGTGAGCAGGACCCTAGGCCTTAGCATTGATTTAGAAGGGGGTGCCAGAACCATAGCCCGCAGGGAGTCTGTACCAGAGCAGCAGTCCATGGCACTGCCCAACGAACACCTCTTGGACATCTCTGTCCAAGGCACCAAAATTGCTTATTATTTCTCTGCTTTGGAAGCCTTCAAACTTTGAGGCTAATTGCATATAATACTAAAACATGGAGCAAACTCTTCTAAAGTGGGGACTACTCTTCAGAAAATGCTCTTGTTGTTTAACCTTTATACATTCCAATGGGGTAATTTCATACCCCAGACATATATTTTGTGCAGTACCATAACATTAATTAATTCTAAAACATTTTCTTTTTAGGACATTGTCACTGGCACCACAGTGCACAATATCCCCAAAGAACAGTCATCCTACATGAATGGTTTGCTCTCTGTAGATGAAAAACTTCCCAGGGTAACACGTTACCCCAGGCCTGAATTTGTTTTTCCATATAGGTTAAGAACTTACCCCAAGCCTATGTTTACTTATTACCCCAACGCAATTTCTGTATAAAAGACAGGCCTACTACCCCACCTTACTGGGGTCATTTGACCCCAGTGCTCTTCCTGCCATGGCAGGGGGTTGGACTAGATGATCTGCTCAGATCCCTTCCGACCCTAGAAACTATGAAACTATGAAACTATGAAACATCCACTGATGAAATCTTATCCCAAGGCAGTGAGGATGCTGACTTTGTTTCAGACATGGGAGATTGTTCAGAACAAGAATACCATGTGTCTATGGAAGCTTCATCCAGCTCAGATGAAGCACAAGCCACAAGCAGAAGTGATGCCAACACTTCCGGTGGGAAAGGAAAGAGGACCATCCCAGGTTTGCCCTGCAAGACCAAGGAGAGCTACAACAGGACATGGAGCAGAACCACTGCTTCCACCCCCCAGAAAACACTGCAGACGATGACACCTTTAGAGAAAGGAATGTCAGAGTGTGGGGAAAAAAAAAACTCTAAAGCTAATACATCATTGGAGAACAGCCAAGTACATAGTCCATGAAAGTGCTGGGACAACAAGAGAAAGTAATAAAGACACAGTGGTGGAAACATTCCACCTGTTTCTCTCACAAGTTATCCTAACGTTTATCATAAGAGAAGCAAACAGAGAGGCAGAAAGAAGATTCAGAGAGTGGTATGATAGCCATCCTGAAAATAGAAAGGAGTGGAAAAAGCTGGATGAAACAGAGATGAAAGCCTACATTGGCCTCCTACTGCTGAGTGGTATATACCACAGTGGTCACAAGGCACTGGTTCATTCCTGGTACAAGATGGGAAGGAATATTGTGGGTGACAATTTCTTCACAACTACTGACCTGGCAGAAAGACTCCTATAGTAGGACTTGACGTATATGGGTACAATTCAGAAAAACAAGGCCAATATCCCAAATGAAATGCAAGCAGATCAAATAAGGGAAACCTTTTCATCCATTTTTGCTTTTGATAGGGAACTCACCCAAGTTTCCCATGTTCCAAATAAGTCCAAAGTGCTGTTGCTGTCAAGCATGCACCATGACCTGTCAGTGGGTGGAGAGCAAAGAAAGCCAAACATCATCTATGACTACAATTAAAACAAGGGTGGGGTGGATAACCTTTGACCACTTAGTCCGTATTACCGCCCACAGACGGAAAATCAATAGGTGACCAATGACATTATTTCTCAATATGCTGGATATGGCTGCCATTGCCAGCCTCATCATTTTGCTAGGCCAAAATCCAAACTGGAAGCAAAGATCACATTTAAGAAGATGGCACTTATTTTTGCAATAGCTTGGAGAACAGTTGATCAACAGGCAAATAAAATGAAGAATGATGGATACACATAATCTGTTTAAGTCCATCAAGTCTGGTATGACTGCCTAAATTACAAATTGCCACAACACATCCCAGTAGAACCTTCTGCAAGCATGAGTGAACGTTATGCTTTTTGTCTGAGGACAGATGACTGCAAAATTTGGAAACAATGCAAAGACTGTAAGCAATTTGCTTCTGTGCACCACAGTACATCACTGCTGCTTTGTGAAGAATGCAATATTTACTTAAAACAGTTAGGAAATGTTTTTGGAAGTAATTGTTAGTTGTAAAACAGTGTCAACTGCAGACTTAGCAAATTGTTGTTTCACGTTTTGAAATTGAAAAAAATTTAAATTTTGTTCATAGTTTTAGTTAAATATATTTTGGGTTCAAATCATCACAAACATTCTTTCAAACAAACTATATGTTTAATAAATAATTTTTGGTACATTTATACTGTTGTCACTGGTTCTACTTTGTTCATGAGGGTAGGATAACAAGTTACCCCGTGAGTCCAATAATGTTGAATTGTGGGGTAACAAGTTAGCCCATGAGAACAATGGTTACGGTTTCATGAGAATGAATGAGGGTTAAAACAAACCAGTTGTGAAAGTGCTTCCTTTTCTTTTCCAAATATAAATTTTTCCTCCAAAGTTACCAGGGCCCTCAGTCTCAAATATTTGGTTTTGACGTCTTCCCTCCCAAACAGAGATGTCTTGTAGCCACTGAAAAGGGGTGATTCCCAAATCCCAAAGCAGGCCAAATTTGCTTCAATGCTGCAGATAGTCTAAGATATTTGGCCATATAATTTTACTGTGAAATAATAATCGTTTTCATACTATTATGATTAGGCCTATGGTATTCTGAGACCACTGCCTTTTGTACAGAACAATGCTGTATTTTTTTTCTCTTGTTTCTGCCATCTACCTCCATCTCTTATTTCTGGTTTCATATTCAGAAGGTAACAGCTTTGAGGAAGGAGCTGTTTTAGCTCTCAGGATAAATAAAAAATAATAGAAACAATAGTCATAAAGGTCTTTTTAGAGGGTTTTAAAGATTCTAAGATTTAAAAATTTTCTTTCCTAACCAAAGGTCAGCTATACCCCTGATACCTGGCAAATGATATTATAAGCAAGTGTTTGGATCACACATCAGAATCCATCATGACTTTACCTGCATGTCTGGAGGGACCCTGCCAAAGATAGCATGTACAGTACCTTTATAAATCATGAAGTTTTCTGGGCCCAAGTTTGGGATATGCTCATATAAATGCCTTATGGATTTTCCATAATGTAGTGACTGCTGATAATCTATGTATTTTCTATACAAGAGTTATGCTGCATATATATACATTTTCACATATGCCCCTTTTAGGATAAGCATATTCTATGATATGTTGCAATTTGCCAAGATAATGATGTACATCTTGAACAAGCATAACATTAAAGACAATGTTTAGAATAATACATTCTAGAGTAATTTATTAGAACATAACCTGGAATATATCAGTAGATCTTCAGTAGGATTCCATCAATAAGTTGTTGCTTCATTCTTTCAGTGTCATGAAGCAGGAAGTGAAAGGCTAAGGACCTTGGCCACCCTACTTATGTAGTGATAGGTGACTTACATATACTGGAGTGGTTTATTGTATTGGCTTGCTAGCTTTACTTCAAACAAAGAAATCACATTTTAAATGGTTTAGGAGTCATTTACATATAAAATTAGCACCAGAGTTTATTGCTCCTGGATACCATGTTTACATGTGCACCTGGGAATGCAGCATGTTTAGCTGGGCTGGACCAGCTCTGGCTGGCAGGTGGCCCAAGCAGTCAGCCTGCCAGCCTGGAGCTGCTTTGCCCCAGTTCAATATGCTGTGGAGGGGCTGGCTAGGGCACAAGGGCACTACACTGAGTAGTAGCTGGTAGGTAGTCCTATATTGTAGTACCCTCCTGCCCCAGCCAGCCCGGGTCAACATCTACATACCCATTGCAGTGCACTAAATAACTCTGCTGTAGCACAGTACTTGTCCCGGACAGTACTATCCTACAGACGTGTTAGTTAATTTATTGCACCCTAATAGGCAGTGAAGATTTAGTGTGGAGTTAATTAGTCAACTCTGCAGTAAAATGCATGTATAGATGCACCCAACAGGCAACTTTCTAAAACATCCCACTACTTACTTATTTCTAGTAAGAGTCTTATTTCAACTTGTTTGTAAAAAAATTGATGTGTAATAAGAAGTGCTAAATATATATATATCACACCTTTATCAAATGAATCTGAATGACTGAAAAAGCCATCGGATGCTTATAGAGAAAAGCATTCTGTTGAAAATATTTTCCTTCCACTCCTCTTGTACTACCTCTCTTCATTTCATAGCTCTACAGAGTTTTTTGGTGTTGTTGTTATATATATATCATTTATATTTCTCCACTGAACATAAATAACACAGATATTTGTAGGTGTTTTTAGGCAATGAGGTCCCAGTATGCACTGAACATTGCTTCATAACTATTAGCAATTACCTTATCAGAAGGGTCCAACTAATTAATCAAGCTACTTTGTCCCACGAGTGTCATGATTTAATACAATGTTATACAAAGACTAAATTGACATTGTAAAACTTAGACTTTTTTTTGAAAAATAGAGAGCAAAATAGAGAGCAAAAAATTGCAATTTCTCACGTACCCTTAAAACCTTCTTTTTCTCTTGAGAGTGTAGAGAAGGTATTGTTTTAACAAAATTTTTATGATTCTTTATTAAGGGTAAGAAGTATCTTAGAGTTTGTGAGTTTCATGACTCAATACTGACAGTGGAAGAAGATAATAATTATTACAATAAAGAAATATGTGAATAATAAATTTAAGGAGAAAAAAAGCAAGTTAATTAGGAAATTGCAATCACTCTTCTCATCAACCAGAAATAATTAGCACAGCATGCTACTGTTCAGCTGTTGATTAAAGGTATTTGCTTAATATATTTGAAATAATTATGTATGTTTATAAAGCTCTGTCAGCATTTTTAGTAGGTAATATGTTTCTTGAGTTGTTGTACCTTTAACATTTTTTCAGAGATACATATACATTTCAATAGTCTGGGTCAGAACTATTTTAGGCAAATCTGATATATGAATCATGGAGTTTGTGTATATATAGGGATGTGTGCTTTATAGATGGTAGACCCAATCTTGAATTCCTTGCAGGTTTTAAAAAACAAATAAAAATTTTTGGAACCACAAAGAAAGACAATAGTGGGTAGGTGGGACATTTGGAGAATAGTTTATATGTAGCATATAATATGATAAGATAATATTTGTGGAGCTGGGAAAGTTTACATTTTTCCACAGTGAATCAATGTTGCAAATATTATGTACCTGTTTCCAGAGTTAAAAAACCTATATATTTAAGAACTAAATACAAATGTGTGTTATGCTTTGAAAACACAGAAAGAAAAGGATTTTCATTTAACTTTTTCAGATTTGAAAACTAAATTACATCTTCTATTGTTCATCTCATTATTAATGAAAGCATTACTAACCATCTATTATTGCTGATATCATCTCTGTTGCTTAATCAATGAGGACTAATGGCATATCATGACAATGAATGTTTAGAGAGTTGTACATTAGCATTATACATTTTATACTTATCTTTAGCTAATGGCAATTCACCTAAATTCTGACCTTGCCAACTGCAGAGGGGAGGTGCAGGTAGCAATTCCAATAATGAAATCTTCAAGCTTTTCACTCAGAGCAACAATCGGTGAATTATATTTGCATAATTTTCAGGACTTCTAAGTAGTGCCAGCTGTACACTTACCCTTTACCCCCCTCTCAAATAGATTGAGTTTGTCATCTTGGGTTCAGAGGCCAAGATCCTCACACATACTTGATAACTTGTTTCACTCTTTAAGCACCTAACTCCTAGGGCCATGCGAAACTTTGGGTGCTGATTCGATTCGGAGGAGATTTGGCCCGCTTCAGTGGCCAAATCTCTGAATCCATATTGAATCAGAAGACCAATTAAAGGTCTGAATCAATTCAAAGCTCTCCAAATTGATTTGGAAAAGATTTGGAGAGCTTTGGAGATTCGGGTAGTCCCCACTCACTGCTGCAGGGAGTGGGACCCAGACTCCATGCTGGTAAGCAGGGGCTAGGGCTGATTTGGCAGTGGCCAAATCTCTGAATCAGATTTTGCTGAATAAATTTGGGACAGTGATTTGAGTCACTGAATCAAATCACTGTCCCCCAAATTAGCTGAATCCAAATCCGAAGCAAATACTAGGCAATTTGCACAGGTCTATTAAGTCCACTATTTGGGAGCCAATGACATTCCCAAAACTGCCACTTAAATGCCACCTAATCCAATAGATATTTTGTTACTTTGACTTTTAAGTTTCTCTCAGAATCTCAGACCAGCACTAGAGCACCAGGACCCATCTGAGAGATCTACTTTGCCTAACTGCTAGATGAGCAGGTGTGTGCGAGTGCAACCTGATTCTCGGCAGCTGTCCTGAACATACATCAAGGAAGCAGTACACATATGTCCAGAGGGACTGAATGATTTGTGCAAGGAAAGACAGGAACTATGTTTAGACTCTGTCTCCAAGGAATCACCAGACCTAATTTATGTTCAATGTCCTTGGAAACCTAAAAAGAAAGTGCTATTTCAGTGTGCAGTGTTAAATGATAACATTATACTTTCTACCCATGTTGACTGTATAATAAACACTAGTTTCTCATCTTCTTCAGCTTCAAACTAGGCTCCCTTATTGCGTCAATGATTTCTTTTTATGCCGCATTCTTTGGGGATCATGCAGGCTAGGATGCACTTGGCAAATATCAGATCTAAATCAGAAAAGTGCTTTTATACTGAAGTAGCTAATCAAGGGTTTAGCTTTATTTGCAGAACTTATGTGATCCCAGTGTAAAATGTGCTCCTTGGGTGCATCCAGACAAGCATGTACATGTGCTTCCCTGGGGACAAATAGCAGCAGCATATAGTTGTGCCCCTGCTACTTGTCCCTGGGGAGCACCTGTGCACGCAGGCTCTGGGCTCCTGTGTAGCAAGTTACCCCAGGTGGGGTAGGGAAGGCTGGGGACAGTACTTGGGCTGGCCCCAGCGGCCTTACATGGGGTCCTTGGGGTCTCCCAGGGCTGCATCAGCAGTGATCCTGGCACATGAAGCCTAGTCAGCAGCCACAGTATGGCTCCAGCCAGCCAGGCTCTGGTTTTGGGAGATGCATGCTGCTGGCATGCAAGCCATCCCGCTTTTTCCTGACACTTTTTGACATGGGATCTCCCAGTGTCAAAAAAACCCACCAGGCTGCAAATTAGCAATGCAGCGAATGCCTGCATGTGCATGTGGATGCACCCTTTATGGTTACCAGGGAAGTTGCCCTTTCCTGACAGTAGAATATAGCTAGCAAATCAAGTTTGTAGAAGTTTGAGAAATTTGCTCTTGAATTTTTGTGCTTCTGTGCTTCTCTTTGCAGGTGGTGCAGCACAGCATGTACAAATAAACCTCTTCTACACTAGGGTTTACAACTGTCTTTGCAGTAATAGAGAAAGCAGCTGCTGGTATTGCTCTAACTTATGATAACCATGAAAGTTGTTTACAAGTTGCTGCACAACCTGGAATAGTAGTGTCCTGTGCTCCCACCAGGTATCTTTGATCTTCATACGCATTCTTTTGTCCCTAGCTACATAATACCCCAGCAATCTTCTCAGCCAGGGGCTATGAAGGCAGAGAAAGTACAGACACAGTCAGGTTAACTATCAGCTTCACATCTGCAACATGTCATAGTGTATTCCACATCTTTAAAAAACACCAACCATGTACCAATTACACAGCCCTGTGCTCTTTGAGGACTACTTTGTGTCTGTCAGTAAGGATAGGATCTGGCTCCCAATGTAATCAGTAAAAACTCCACTTTTTTTCTCTTGGATTTGGATCCAGACCTCTATGCTACTGCCATAGGTGAACTGTGTTGTACTAGTTATTCAACAGTTTTGTGCAGAGCTATACCATCTCTTTTTCTTCCCTCCCTTGATAAGTCTGTATATTTTTCCTTGTGTGTGTTCCCCTGCTACTGGCTACAATTAGTGATTCACTACCTCTTCTGCTTTTTGCTTTCCTGTGGAGTCCACTCAGGCTAGCTTGATTGCCTTAAGGAGACCATTTTTAAAAGTGATCCTTTTTCAAAATCTGCATGGTCACCATTTCCTTAATGCTGATCCTTATACTTCTATTTCCAGTGTAATAACAACTACTTGTGCTTTACGCTTTGTGCTTCAATATCCACAAGGGTAGTTTTTGAGCATGTTTGTCCTTTGCTTTCTAATGGACTATGATCTCCAATGGACTCTCTGATATTCCCTGTCACTTTACTTTTTTCTCCTTTAAATTTTCTTATCAGAAGAGTGATAAAGAATGGGAAAATGTTATTCCTGCATAGATCACAAGCATGATTATACATCTTCAGTTCTGTTTTATATACAAGAAGAATAAAAACCAACCAAACAAAAAAAAAACCCTTATAAACCATTAATGTTGTAACAGTCTGATTTTTTTGCTGGGTCAGAGGCATTATGTTACAGCACAAAAAAGCTATAGCAGTAGCTTTAGCAGTAGGTCAAGGAATCAGAATCTTATTGCTACCCATAACAAAGAAAAAAAAGTAGCATGCATTAGGTTGCTGTCAAGCTGTTATTATTTATATGAGAAATAGAGATGAATGACCAGAGGATCATCCATAAGTCTTTGCCATTCCTGTTTAAATTTAGAAGTCAATTCTCGTTTTATACAGGTCCATTATAGAAGAGTTTTATTATAGATGGAATTGGTCACTTTGCTGATAACACTGCATGATGTATGCCAGTTTCAGTAGCTTCTTGTCATATAAACTGCTGCATTTTAAGTTAACAAGACATGCCATAATGTAAGTGATGTAGTGTGATTTGTTGTTTTTCATATTGCTGATATTGTATGTCATTGACATTGTGGCATCTTTCTCATCTACTTGCTTAATCAGAATCAATGGTGGGCATCTGATCTGAAATGTAGCTAAGAAATAAAGAAAAAGCACATATCCAGGTGTCTACTACTATATACAGTATATAGCAAAAATATGTGTCGCTGCTATCTGTCCCACAGGAAATGTGTGCCCCTGCATGTGCAGGCTCATTTGGACACACTTCTAGCTATCATAGCTTTCTGATTCAGTAATTCTGTTTAGATTTAATACTGTTCCTCATTAAATAGCACCAAAGATATAGCTGTCTTGATTCATCCAAGGCTGCTTTAAAAAGCAAAGCAAAACAAAATATAACAAAACAAACAGAAAAACTAAATTAAACTAAACAAACAAAAAAACACTTGGATGCCTTTTTCTTCTTTTCCTACCATCAGTCTGGGTTTTTCACCTTCCTCTGCTCAGTGAAAGACCTATTTCTTGATATTGGCTTCATTCTTTACCAAGATTTGATCTAAACCTAAATTATGCTGCTTTGACCTCAGGTTACTTTTTTGTATTGCAATATTCATGACTCCAATGTAATTATTTTCTTTGCTATCCAAGTTATGGTTGAGGGCTTAGCATTAGCAGGAACTCTCCTCTCATCACCTTCCCTTGTGTTTTCTACTCCACAGCTGCATATAATCCAATGTAGTTATCTCTCTAGGGTTTTGTTGTTGTTGTTG